GGCCCTCTGGTGGCGCAAGAAGACGGATTTTATAAAATAAAAAGCAGTTGAAACTGCATTTTTATGAATAAAAATTTGACAAACTATTTATCGTTTTATGACGAGTAAAATTTTTTCGTCGCTTTCGCGGCTTTTAAGTAATGCATAAACCTTCGAAACATGAGGCCCTTTGGACCGCGAGGTGTAGGCGGTGGCCCACGTTGCCCATGCCTTACGCAGCCCTTGGTCATAGAAATGATGTAATTTGAATATAAATTATTTATAAATACGTATGTCAAGTTATATTTTTATTACTACGTAAAATATATTTAAGAGTTTACGCCCACTGTGCTGGGTGAGATGTTGAAACAAAAAAAGTTATGCATTCCATCACGTACATAAACAGTGTCGTAATTCGCCAAGTGCAAATCAGCAAACTCATAAAATTTTTGTTTATTTTGAACAATCCGGATAATCGAAAATTCAGATAATGGAGGTCCGGATAATGGAGGTTCTACTGTAATGTAATAAGTTTTTAGAGAGAAAATTTTTAAATTTCAACATGTAATATTGGTATAAGGATAAATCATTTAATAACAGTTATTTTACCCTTTCAACATTTTTATATCTTTATATAAATTAGTTAAAAATTGAAAAATAAATTCCATTGCATTGATACTATTAAATAAATGGAAAAAACTGAGTATTTCTTTCCATATTTTATCTGTAAAACATTATTATTTAGATGAAATCATGGCCACAAAAATTTACATAATTTGTTGACGAGACTGTCTTGTCTATAAAATCATGTTTCTGTCAATGGCTGGACACATGAGGTATGAAGGAATACATTTCAGGAGTTAAATTTGGCACAGAGTATCTGTGCCAAATTTATCTCCTGCACAAATCATGTGCAAATAAAAAAAATTAGACTTGTAGATAGTCAAGGAACCAAGAACCAAGTCAAAATATAATACAAAATGGCGACACTGTTTCTACAAACAGGCACTAGTGCGAGATTAACTCATGAATTGCTTGTTGGGAACTTCAAAATGCAAATGTTGCAAAATCAAATTTTGACAAACATGTGACACACATTACATGTGTAGTCTCTTTCTTTCTTGTTTCGCCATCCTGCAAAATGACGAGAGCAACATTGGGACAATTTGGGTACAAATGTCTTCCCACTTACCGCAGCCAAGAACAGGCCCATGACAATGCAAAATGTTGTAACCATGGTGGCAATGAAGCCCGTCGTAATCTATGCCAGGATCCCAAGTACTGGTGTTGGCTTTTCCTCATTGGTTAGTGCTCATATTTCTCTTTTCCTTAGAAAACGATGCGCAGTTGAGACTTAGTCTCATCCCAAAAATGGCTTTGCTGTTTTACTTGTTTATAGGATAATATTACTTCTGTTTTATATCAAAAATGCAATCATAATAATGATACAAAATTTTTAAATGAATTATTTTTATATAAAACTTTATAATATAGTTAAGTTTTCTTTTTTCATTTGTAAACTATTATTAATTATTATAAAATGGCAAAAACCTTAATTTCAAAGGTAGTCAGGAGTTTTTTTTAAAAAAAAAAAATTGTAAATGCTAATAACAAGTAAAATCTTCATTAAGTCTGACATCTCTTGAGATATAACACAACCCTCTTGTATCTCTTCAACAACCTTTAACCATCAAAATTTAATAATATCAATACACCTTAACAACAAGCTACTATGAGGTCAGCCGATTAGGGTGAGATTTTTCGACAGCTGAGCGGTCAATTCTGACGTGTGGGCACAGAATGACTTTCTGAGACAGGTTTACCATATAAAACCGTTTATTAAACATAGGAATTTTCCTTACAAATTCCTTGATGGACGAGGTGGCACCACAAAGCGCGCGGATAAAGTCCGAAATAAAGTTAAAAAAATTCTGTTTTCATTACTTGTGGATGGATGCTGCCGGTGAAATACTCTGTAGGCCCCGGGGCATTGATCACGGCTTTCGGCGGCTTCTCGTTGGACGAACTGACGAATCTGTAGATTGCTAGGAGGCACCCAGAGAATGATCCTTCCACGATGTTCTTTTCTTTTCCAAATATCTGGAGCACGCACGTCCAGGAGAAGAAACACTATGCATCCAAGCACGAAGAACCTTTGTCCCTTGAGTCGCACGGTTTTATAGATTTCTTAATCATAGTCGCCTCTCCATTGGTCTCTCATTGTCACCTGGTGACAATTCGATACCTAATGAAGGGCGCAGGAGAGGTCAACGTTTCGACTGAATATGATTCCTCTCTCTCGTCGTGTTTTCCTCGAATTTATCCGTTTCCATTGTTTAACTAATTTACCGAAAAAAACAATTGCATTGTTCAATCGAGACACCTAATCCGTTTCCTTAGCGTCTGAAAAGGAGCTCTTTATTTTCAATTGACACCCCTCATTCGGACCTCTCAGTCAACCTCTGTTCGGATCCTCACACTACTATGCCAAATTTTGTTTTGTAATCATTACCCTGTCAACAAAATAGATGCCAATACACATACACACAAACACACAGATATAAACACATATACATGCACAAACATCCATGAAATCTTTTTCTGTTTTTAGCACACTCCGCTATAATGGTGACATGCTTATGTTAGGACTTATGTTAGTGCTTATGTTGAGCATTTAACACTTATGTTATCTCCCTTTACCATTTTGTTTTATGTAATTTTTATTAGACATAAAAAACTGGCACACAAACTGGAAATATATACTAAAACAACCACTTCACGCCTAAATGCTAATTCCAGCAAATGAACAACAAAAAAATTTTAATGTTCAAACATTTTTGGCCGTCTTTCAGAGGGCCTCTGAAAGACGGCCAAAAATGTTTGAACATTAAAATTTTTTTGTTGTTCATTTGCTGGAATTAGCATTTAGGCGTGAAGTGGTTGTTTTAGAAATTTTTATTATTTCCGGTGTGGATTTATCTCTATTTGCATGTTATTATTGTACTTATGCTAGTTTAAATTTATTTAACATTGTATTCCAAAATAGATTTTTCATTTTAAATATATAGTGTTCCTTTTTTAAAAAAAATTTAATTGTTCTAAAGCTGTATTCTTCTACCTAAGGATGACATCGATAGAAATGTTGAAAGTGCTTGTATTAATAAAAAGTGTTTTAACACTGATAGACAGTAATGTTTTAGTATTTTAATAGAAGTTCAGTTATCTGTATGACAATAAATTAATATTAATTTTGAAATCATTAAAATTCTACAATATATAGTAAAAAATCTGATTATTAGACTTAAAATAATAATTTAATGATTAAGCTGAAATTTTCAAAACTTGTAGAAAACTTGTAGACCTATGAATTCCAGTTGCTCAGTCTATCTGTCTTTTCTTAATCTTGAGAACAGAGTGAGCTAGATGAAAGTTGAGATCAGATATGGAAAGCTTAACAGCAGGAAACCCAATTAACCAGTGGTGATATTCAGCGGGTTCGCACAGGTTCGGCCGAACCCGTTGTTAACATTTTCAAAGTTTTCCGAACCTTGTTAAACACGTGTAACATTTCTCAATGGTTTTGATTCTTTTAAAAAATATATTAAAATATACGTATTACTCTGTAACACTAGTAAACTAGAGCCTTCCGATGCACCATTTGAGCGAAAAAAAATTGTTAAGGAAAAATTTTCTGTTAGCGAACCCTTTGTTATATATTTCAAATATCACCACTGCAATTAACTATATATGAACTTCCAGTTTAAACCAGAAGTCATGTTATTTCAATTCAAAAATTTTCTCCTAAACAGAGTTAGATAGATGACTAGTATGACTATTGTTAACAGAAAAAGTATGATGTACAGAGGCAAGACACTATTAAACTTGAGAACATTGTGACAAAATTTGCAGCCCAGCATTGTGGCATGTCACAATAAATAATAGCTTGTCTGCTATTAACTGTAAATGAAGATTAACTATTAACTAGAATTTTTAATAATATAAAATAATATAAAATTGTAAATTAATTATATTAAATACCATGATTTGATTAAAATATAATTTTTCTAGCAAAATTTTGTCATCTAGATAGATGCATAGTAAATAGCCAATCTAATGTTTTAAAAGTTTTACATTCAAACTTTGAAACAGATCTCCACAATTTATGATGAATGTATTAGTGGAAATGTTCCCTTATTCTTTTCCTATATTAGCTGAACCTACTCAGGTCAAGTACACCCATAATGAACAAAACTGTATCTGATCATACAACGCCCATGTACTGCTTCCTTGTATTAACTAATCAATCAATCATTATTATTTTATTTTTATAATTACATCATTAATGTAATTTATAATCATCCTTAATTAACAATAAAAACTATTGTAATACATACAATATATGTATAGAATATATATTATAATGAATAATTACTTTGTGTGTGTTCATATACAGCCACGTTATTCCAGATATACTGACACTTATTGTTAGATTCCTAAGAAAACAAAACACACATTTTTAATTATTAATGAATACAAAATTAAACCTATATTAATAACAACAAGTCAACATTAATATTATTTTATTAAATTCATAATAGTTACATTTTAAGCAAATTTTAATTAGGACTTTCAAATAATGTAATAATTTCAGGTTTTTCCAAAATGAATCTACCAAACCAAATTTCAAATAGCTTTTATATATAAAGTATGATATAGAAAATATTTCTGTTAAATAATTTTTGTTTTTCAAGAAAGCAGAGAAGTGTACAGTATATGTTATGGTTTTTTGGAGAGAGATTAATGTTCAAAAATTCTAGGAATGCATCAAAAAGTCGAAATTATTAAGTAGATTTATCAAAAAATTTGACAATTTTGAAATTCTCTGATTCCCAATTTGAGACCTATACCTTTCATTTTTGATCAACAAGATCATCTTATAATTTATAAATTACAAAGACCCCATTGAAAATTCAAAAATATTAAATTTCCTGAAATTTTTTACTCTTGGGAACAGCTTTTCAGGAGTTGAAAAGCCTAGTTGTTAGAATATAATAAAATGTATTTATCACTTTTCAAAATAATCACCCTAAACTTGAATACACTTTCACCAACAGTTTTTCCAATTCAGGAAACATTTGGAGAAATCAGGGGCCATATTCTGGTCACTGTCTCTCGTCTTTCACAAGCTGGTCACTGATTGACTAATCCAAATGATTAGCCAATCAGCGACCAGCTTGTGAGAGACGAGAAACCAGAGACAGTGACCAGAATATGGTCCCAGCTTCTTTCAGAAATTGAATAGTTTTTTGAATTTGTCTTGTATGAGTTCTATTGACTTCTTTTGACATTGGAACTGCTGTTCTGCAACTGTCATATTTCTCTGATCTAGCTCCTAATAACTTTTTTATTTATCCAAAGTTAAAAAAGAAATTTTAAAAGTAAACAGTTTGAATTCCTTTTATAGATTTTACAACTACATCAATTTCATTTCTAAATAAAAGTAACCAATAATGGACAGTTTATCTAAGAGATACTTAATTAAAAGCCCATAACCCGAGATATCTCAGGCAAGTTACATAGCTTTACATAAAACACGGTCCTTAAGGGGAGTTTTGAAAAAAATTTTTTTTGAAATTTTGGAATGTTTTTTAAGTCCCCAAATTTTTTCAAAATTTTTTGCCCATGCAAAAAAATTTTATCGCGATTTTAATTAGCCTTTGATAAGGCTCGATTATGGTTTAATTGTTTTTTAATGGGAGTTTTTTATCAAATTTAATTAATCATTCTAAAGTTGTAGTGCACGGATTTGACTTTGGTAAAGTTATTTAAAGCTGCTTTCTGATGTCAAAAACGACCTCCAATAGTTTTTAAATTTTTTTAATTAATATATTTTATTTTATATAAATTTAATTAATTAGGGGGGATCGGAAATCACAATAAAATTTTTAATTTTTTAAAAATATAGGCCTAGTTAGTATTCACCCTACTTTAAACCCTTGTCCTCCCGAGACGTCTATGAGAATGCCCCGGGAAATCCAACTCCAGCTGTTCTCAAGATCATCCAGCTGTGTAAACAATGACTCATTGGTGTTAAATTTCGCAGAAAGGCGAGACAAAGGAACTTAAACTTCAAAGCTTTTTCTTCAAAATAAACACATTTCTTTTGTTTTTTTTTCAGTTTTAAGTATTTTTTATGTTTAATTAAATTAATATAAAAAATGTCAATGTCCTTAAGGGGTTAATTGATCTCTTATTTAAAAAACAAATGTACTAGTATTATAGTTACATTTCTTCAAATTATTCATAATGTTACTTATAAGCTCTTAAATCATTCATGTCAAACTTAATTGTGCTCTATTATGTTTTATGATTTTAATAAACAAATCTGATTTTAAAAAATATTTAAATAAAAAACATCTGAAAATAATATTGCCTTTTTCTAAAATTTATTTTTGAGGCAATATAAAGCAATTTTAGTATTAAATTTTAGACAAATATAAAATAGACAAATTTTAGTAATTAAAATTTGTCTATTTCCATGCAATCATCAAAGCTTTTGAATGAATATGTAATTTTTAAGCCAAATTTTATCTTCCAAATATGGGTAACTAGAGGTAAAATCTGATCTGAGACTTTATTTGCATAAATTTTTTACATTCGGAAACAATCTGAAGAAATTCTACAATAAACAAAATTGCAAGTTGTCTTGGATCATCAGTATAGCTTTCTTAGATCTAATATTGAAATCTTAGATAGCATATGATACTTTACAATCTAGCTACAAAAGAATCAATCTGACTGACATATAATCAAACCAAGTTTGTCAGTGACCTTTATATGTCAGTTTCCTTGTCCATGTTACATCATTTACACAGTTTATCTTTGTAATAGATATATTATCTATGTATTTAATAAAATTTCCTTTTCAAATTTTCTTATAAGCAGCTCATTTCTGCAGTTAGGCTTCTTATGATTATATGAATTAACTTTATATACACTATCTGTCCAAAAGTATCTGGACACCCTCCTAAAGAAGTGGATCTGGTAGGTGATGGTCTCTGATGTGTAACCGAAAGGTATAAAAGTGTTGGTAGTGGTTTGTCAGGTCATATTTATGCATTTGTGAGACAACGAGTAAGTCAAAGGAGCTTAATGACTTTGATCATGGCATTATAGTGGGATGCCACCTTTGTGGGAAATCATTTCGTGAAATTTCGGACATTCTACAGAAACCAAATCCACTGTGGGTGATGTAATTTGAAGTGAAAACATCAAGGCAGTGAAGTGGTAAAATGACGTGGCAGGCCGAACAAAATTAGTGAATGCAGCCATAGAACTCTGAAAAGGGTAGTGAAACAAAATCACACATCCTCGTTGGTTGAAATCACTCAGGAGTTCCAAAGATCATCAGGCATTAGTGTTAGCACCAGGACTGTTCATCAAGAGTTAAAAACCTGAGATTCCATGGTTGTGCAGCCGCTCACAAGCCAAACATCACTCTCCAGAATGTGAAGCAATGGTGCAAAGCTCACCGTCATTGGACTGTGGACATGTGGAAAAGTGTTCTTTGGAATAATATCATAAAGTACTCAGCAAATCACTATACATATACATATACTTAACACCTTATTCTTGCCGAGAAATATAATTTATTTCAAACAAACAAACGTTTTCAGCCTGATTCACAGGCCATCTTCAGGTTTAGAATACATTTGAATTAAAATTCCATCAATGGAATACAAAATTCAAATTCAAAATTAAATAAGGTACAATTAAAACAAAATATTAAATAACCAACATAAAACAAAAATAAAAATATAAAAACAAAAAATATATAAAAATGCAACAAATGAATATATAAGTATTAATAAATGCAATTACTAAGACATTCAATAAAACTACTATATTGATTGGTTAGAGCCCTTATTAAACTTCTTAACCATAAACTTCCATGCAGAGGGAAGACTTTCTGCGTCCCTCGCATTTAGACAGCCTTCTTGTAATCTACTCCTATAAATCTGCAACTTTTCCGCTGTCAACGCCAAAGATGGAGAAGATAAAGGATTTATGATGGTCGCCTCATTCCATTTGACTATAGCTCCTGGTGCTTGTGCCATTTGGGACAAAATTGTTGCATTAGACCCCTTTCTGATATTATAACTATGTTCCTTGATTCTAAGCCCTAAACTTCTAAATAGAAGTACCAGAAAAGATCAAGAAGCTTCTAAAAAAAGGCCCAAATTTTGTTCCAGTGGAGGCCATGAATTGGGAAACCTCAGTACAGGAAATTGAAAGGGGCATTGTTGGGCTAGACGATTTAGAAAAAGAGTACTTCAGATGGAAAGCAGTCCTTAACAACAGACAGAGGGACCGAAAGCAAGATATTGGAAGTAGTGACATCCGGCTCACTAAGAATTGGTTAAAGCAGAATGATTTGGTGTTGACTAGGGCAGATAAAAGTAAACAACTAGTCATCATGAAAAGGCGTACGTATAACGAAGCACTAATGGATTACATCGAAAAGACAGAGTGTGAAAAGATCAACAGCAATTTTATTGGAAGCTTGGATAGAAGGGTCAGGAAGCTAGAGGTCTCTAAACTTTCCAAAGCTTTGCCTTTTCTCAAGAAATGCAGGAACCCTAGACCTGGAACACCTAGGTTATTTGCTTTCGCTAAGGTGCATAAAACCGGTAAAGAAATAAGACCGGTTGTAGAGAAATGCAGAGGTCCCACGTTTGTGTTAGAAAAGAAGTTGCATGAGTATTTATCCTCTCAGCTAGACACAGATACTCTAGTTGCACTTGATCCTATGAAGGTGGTTAAGGATCTGCAAAATATAGCATTAATGGAAGATGAAGTTGCAACTGTTTTCGACTATGAAAGCATGTATCCGTCAGTAAAGATAGAATCGTGCGAGGAGGCGCTATTGGATTTCTTATACTGTAATAACTCGGAATTGCTTAGTTATACTGAAGAAGTAGAGAGTTTGACTAGTTTGGTCTGCCGTGAATCTTGTTTCGCTTTTAATGGACAGATCTACAGACAGAGAAGAGGGGTCCCTATGGGAAGCCCGCTCTCAGGGATCCTATGCGAATTGGTAGTTAGGAGACTGGAAAGAAGAATTTTTCATGGTTTTAAGGAGGATATCATGTATTTTAGCAGATACGTTGATGACCTACTTATATTATGGAGAAATAACAGCAGAATTAAGGATTTTTTGGATAAGATCAATGATAACAATGATGGCCTTACTTTAAGATTGGAGCAGAAGAGTTCCTTGAATCTGCATTTTCTCGACATCGATATTACATTCAAAAAAGGCCACCTGTCCACTAGCGTTTTTATTAAACCATCCCACAGCCCATTGTATATTCCCTCCCAATCCAAGGATCCGTATAAATATAAAATTGCAGCTTTCAGAGCTTTAATAAGAAGGGCATTTTTATATTGTGAAAGAGTACAAGACAGGAGGAAAGAAATAAATAGAATAATA